GTCGCAGTGGGATGTGGTGCGATGCGGCCGCATTTTTTAAAAGCGCATATGCCCCTGTTTCTGATACGGATGCGAGCGCATCCCGCATGTTGCGCCCGCATATACGGCGATGCGGCCGCATTTTAAAACACTGATCTCATGTAATGTAGGAAGATTAAATCCTGGGCCAAATGACCCAATTGTGTGGAGCTTACATGCAAAACTAGTGAGGGTTATAGTATTAAAAAGAATGCCAGCCATATGAAACCACTTTGCAATGTTCTCACATACCTTCTTCCTCTCTTCTTTCTTGTATTGATTTTCAATTGTAGTTTCTGTTGTTTTTTTCCTACTCTCCTAAACCACAATTTCGGGGTTAGGGGTGCAAAATGTATCCATTGGCCCTTTAGAGAGGTGTTTTTTTTCCAATACTACCCCACCAATATATATAACCCTCTCTCTTGTCCTTGGAGTACACATTTGCCTCATACCAACTTCTGATATATCCTCATCATCTTCATCATCACCAAATAATTGAATTTCATCCATTAATTCTTTTCGTTCCATTCTCTTCTCTTTTTTTTTTTTTCAAGCTATCCTTGTATTTTCTAATCTCCTTTTTGGCATCTTCAGTAGCTTGTGGGCATGCTCTTACATTCCTAGAAATACTGGCTAAGTGTTCTTTTGTCGAAAAATACCTCTCATATAAGTATTTTCACAAAGAGTACAAATAAAACAATTTCGGTCTTTCGGATTTTTTAGTTTAGCATATTTCCAAATCAGATCCTTGTTACTAGAAGATTATGAAGACGACATTGCCCCAAAATAAAGGTATTAGTGTACTAGGAAATGAAAACTTACCGATTCCTTGAAGAAAATATCGATTTCTTCTCAGCCTTTGGACCTCTCAATTTGTTGTCAAAACTTCGCTGAAACTTCCTCATGTCAACACCCAAAATAAATTAACAACCAAAGATCATCCAAGATGAAAATCCACGATTTAAGAAAAAAAAAAAAAGAATTCCGCCACTTTTTTTTTGCTTGGTTTGATGTTCTAAAGGGCGCGAATGTGGCTGATTTTGGCGGTTTGAGGGGTTTAATACCCCCTCAAACCCTTGTAACCCTGTATGGGGGGTTAAAAAGACATAAATACCCCTTTTCAAGTTTTTTTTTTTTCATTTCGCGTGCAAGACGCACATGTACGGCTATGTGGCCACATATGCGCTATTTAGCGATACGGTTTCCAACGCATTCCGCATGATGCGGCCGCATATGTGGCAATGCAGCTGTATTTTAAAACACTGGTAAGTACATTGCAAAGTGGTTTTATATAGCCAGCATTCCTTTTAATACCATAACCCTCAATAGCTTTGCATGTGTGGTCCAGGCAATTAGGCAATTTGGCCCAAGACTTAATCCTCCTACATTACATGAGGTAAGGGAGCCCCTTTTGAAGGATGTTGTGTCTGATGTTAATAAAATTTTGATTTCTCAAAGAAAACGATGGGAGAAGTATGAGGCAACTATTATGTGTGATAGATGGTCTGATGCAAAGTCAAGGGCATTTATTAAATTTTTGGTTAATGCATCAGACAAGTCACATGATGATGGATGAGATTGTAGAATTTGTTGTAGAGCAACATGTGGTACAAATCATGACTGACAATAGTGCCAATTATGCTACAGCTGGGCATCTTTTGACTTTGAATATGAGGCATATGTTTTGGACTCCTTGTGCAGCTCATTGTGTTAATTTCTTTCTTAAGGAAATGGGTACGATATCTATATTTAGTAGGGTGATTTCAAAAGCAATGTTTGTTGTAGGATTATTTACAAGAACACCACAGTCCTTAGCATGATGAGGAGTTTTACAAAGAAGAGAGATATAATGCGACTGGGTGTCACTAGATTTGCCACATCCTTTCTCACTCTTTGAATCCTATGCAAGCAAAGAACTTCCTTGAGGATCATGTTTGCTTCAGAGCAGTGGAGTAAAAATAAGTGGTCAAAGCATCAAGATAGAAGAAAGGCTGAGCAGATTATTCTCAATACATCTTTTTGGGATCAGGTATATTGTGCATTGGAAGTGGCTAGCCCTTTAGTGAGAGTGCTTCGATTGGTTGATAGTGAAGCAAAGCCCGCCATGAGCTACATACATGAGACAATGACCAGGGAAAAAGAAAAGATAAAAAATGTTCTAAAGGATGATGAAAAGAAATGCAAGGCTACACTTGAAATCATTGATAGGAGATGGGATAACCAGCTTCATATGCACCTCCATTCAACCGGTTACTTTCTAAATCCATCCTTCACTACAAACACCCAGCCATTGAGTCTAGTCGTATAATAAGTGTTGGGTTCTTAGATGAGGTTGGTCCCTGACCGACATATCTAAGATGAAATCCATAGCCATGAATTGATCAAGTTCAAGTTAGCATTGATAAACTTTGGGAGAGATTGTTACTCAAAACAGGGACACTACAGATCTAGGTAAAGGCAAAAAGTGCCTTTTCTATTTTGTTTGTTTTACAGTCTTTTACTTGTATATTTCCATTTATATAGATAATTAAATATTTTTTAAATTATAAAATGTCATGCAGCTGCATGGTGGGCATTATATGGAAGCGAGATAACAAATCTACACGATCTCACTATTCGATTGTTGAGTCTCACATATAGTTCATCTGGTTGCGAACTCAATTGGAGTGCATTTAAGCATCTAAGTCCTTAATCTTTATTTCTTAGGTTTCAATTTTCTAAAATCTAAGAAGAGTAAAAAGTAGAAACCTTTTTGCTTGTTTCCTTGTTTTTTACCACATCTTCATACCAAAAAAAAGAAATAGGTTGGAGCAGAAGAAGTTGAATGATTTGGTTTCTGTGCAATATAATGAGCGGCTTAAGGAGAGGTATCAAAAGCATATGGATCTCAACCCAATTCTAGAGTATAAACCTGATGGTGAGGACACAAGTGAGTGGACCATGGATTGACCAGCAGAGCATGTGTTTGAGGGTGAGAATCTGACTTGGTATGATGTCGAGCTAGCTGCAGTGGTTAATGAAGAAGTACGGCCTAACACTAGAACACAAAAGAGAAAAGCCGAGTCCAGTCGCATATTAGTTCCAAAAATTTAGGAGGAGGCCGACTCATAAGAGACTGAGGAAGAAGAAGAATTTGTGGAGGCCATCGAGGATGATACTGATGATGATGATTCCTCTCACTCAAATGCTAGAGGTGAACATGGAGACTCTCTAGATAACTTATCTGATTGAGCTTAGAAGTTGAGACTTGAGAACTGATGATCATTTGTCTTTGAGTCTTGATTTTTGAACTCTTCATAGACTTTTAGTTTGTAACTTTAAAGTTTGCAATCGCAAAATTTGTGATTATAGTTTTTGAATGTTTATGAACTATGGTAATATGATGTCTTCTAAGTTCTATTGTCTTCTAATAAGTTAGTTTCTAGTTTCTAGTTTCTACTTTATAAGGTTTTCTATGATATATCAGGGGATAGTGGATACAGAATCTCGGACAGCTGATACGTTGGACTTAATGAATGAATTAGATACTCACTATCACATAAATCACCTCTATGTTTTTTTTTTCCATGCATTCACCTATTTTTTGAGATTTTTTAGAATTTTTTGTATTTATTTATCTCATCGCAGTGATGCATCCACATCTGGACTGCATCGAGCTATATTGCCACATCGGCCCCCCGATCGCATCCTGCATTTAGCACCGCTCTGGTCTAAAAGGCCAAAGTCTTTGGCTTCAATCCCTGAGCCAAAGGGCAGCGGATCACTCCCCCCTTTAACATGAAAATATCTGTAAAAATTTTAGAATTTCCGCTGAGGTATTAATTTGGTAAAAGTTACAATTATTTAAACATTTGGAAAATATGCATAATTACTAAGAATTTTAAAAAGGGAAAAGCTTATATAAGGTTGTAACCTTAAAATGTAGAAGTACAGATGCATCTCAAAAATCCATCGGAAAAAGTTGTTTTAATGTTGAAAAAATCTCTAATTGATCATCTTGAGATCGAGATGCATGCATATGAAACAAAAAAAAAAAATGAGTCCCTTTAATAGCGCATCTTGCAACACATTATCTAGACCATCCATTTTCAAGATTTTCATATCTACTTGATTTTAACTATTTTTGGAGTTTAAATTTATAATTAGATATGAAAATAGATTTTGAGATAATCCTAAGAATTGTTTCACCAAAATTACATGTTAAGATAAGATTTGGAGGCGCGCCTTAATTGGATTGTTTAAGGTTGCAACCTTATAGAAACTACCCTTTTAAAAATATCTTAATTTTTATATTTTTGAAATTATTTATTTTCTGTTTTATAAATACACCTAAATGCTTCCACCAAATCTGCCGATTATTTTAATCAATGAGAGTCATGATCTTGATTGCATTTGTTTTTTTTTAACAATTATTTTTTCAGTTTGATTATATATATATATATATATATATATATATCACCCATGATTCAAGAACAATGTCCAAGACCCTTCAAATATGTGATCACTTATACTTGAAGAGTTAATTCATACCATGCATGTGTTACAAAAGATTGATTGATGTTTATGTAATTGCATTGTTGGTTGCTGGGATTGAATGTTTCTCCTCCGCTCATTTTCTCTGATATTATACTCTTTTTGTATCCACTTCTTAAACTTGGGGCATTTGGTAATCATAGTATATTCTTGTAACTCCAGAGAATGTTATTTCTAATATGCTTGGAGATATTTTCTGTTTGATGCAATAGTTGGTCCTAGAGTTAAATGAAATTCGTGAGATCAGAGGATCATCTCTATCTGCTATGAATCGTAATTAGAAACTTAAGCTCTTTCAGTACCATCTGTGAATCCCTATCATTGTTGTTTTGTTGTGTACATAATTATAATATTAGAACTATGATCTTGTTTTACTGTACCATTTGTAAGCGTTTGTTCGTTAATTTGATATTTCAAGGTACACCATTAATTATGAAGATTTTCTGCAGTTGTAGAAAAGTTCTGAACATGAGGCTTTTTCCAAATGAGAAGAATGGAAAGGCATGGGATCAAAATGTAAGCTCTCCACTACTTTGCAATATTCTCAATTATCAAAGCCTGACTCCATCATGTTCGTTTTTTCCCTAAATGCAAGTAAAATTTTCAGAAATATAAAAGAGAAGCGTGTTTTTCATTTTGCACTATATTCTGCTAGATAATAAGCTTCCTGAACATTGTTAACTCAAGATTGTACATCCTAGGCTGGATATTGGTATATGGCGACTGTATTTCATGGACGAATATTGGATTAATTTGACCAAGCCTATATTTTGAGAAAGGGTTGGAATAAATTTTGTGCAGGTTATGCAGAAACACTATGAAGTTCTTTTAGGTATCAGGCTTACCATACTCAATGAGTGATTCTGTTTCGGTATGAAGTGGGGATTAGGAACTAATTGTTTATATGTTCCTATTTCTTGTTTCCTTTGTTTCCTCAGTGAGCCAATTTACTTTGTATGGCATTCTCAAAGGAAATAAGCCAGATTTTCATGTGGCCATGCCCCCTCAAAACGCAAAGATCTTTTATGCTTCTTTAGTGGATAAGTTTCGTAGATCATACAATGTGGATGCTATTAAAGGTGAGTGGTAGTACTATTATGTTATAATCATCATATAATACTGCTTATGTTTAAGTGGTACTACTATGTGTAATCATACTTGCTATTTTTTATGGCAACTAAGCCAATGCCACAGTTTTTGGATTTCTCTTTCTAATTGGAGCTGGATTTGAAAAATATTTACCAAAATTAAGCTAGTTTTGAGAATCCATTTTTGAGAATTCATTGTAGATATACTTCTGTTATGGATGCTACCTTCTAATTATCTTATTATGTGCATGTGCGTTAAGAATTTCAATGCTTAAACCATCTAAATTAGATCATATCTCTCCTTTACTTTTTCCTAATTAGTACCCTTAACCTCTTCCTTTGTAAACCGAATCCCACAGCAAAAGGGATTGATAGTCTCGACTAAATTTGTCTAGGCACTAATCCAAGATCTCTTTCTCTACTCATAATCTCTCCTAAATAATCTCCGATGATATTATCTCTACAGGTAATCTCTCCTAAATAATCTCCTTAAATTCCTAAATTCTACCATGATCTCTCTCTCCTTTGTCCATGCCATGCAAGGGCTGTTTACTTGTTTTTTTATGACATGCTTCTTCATGACTACCTAGTTTGTTGTAAATATTTGACAACTTTGCTCGGCCATGGAACTCGGCCTTCGTCCGGGCCAAGTTACTCGCACAAGTGACCTAAGAAACCCAAAAAAGAAAAAGAAAATAAATAACCCTAAAGAGTCAGAAAAAATAGGAAGAAAATGATAAACAGAAAATCCATATAAAATATGAGTAAAAAAACAAAAATAAAAACTGGTTAAAAATCATATTTTTAGAAAAATGAGAAAAATAAAAAATCATTAAGAACCATAAAAAGGTTAAACACTAAATATGAATCAATTGTAATTGATTTAATCAAAGATTAAATCAATTATAAATGAAATTTAATTAATTATATACTAGGGGAGGGGGTGGGGAAGGCGGGGGGCACATGGTGTTTGGGCGAGTGGGAGTGGACTCACTCATTAGTCAAATACTATTTGTCTTCATCCACTGCCCTCTCCCAACACTTCCATTTTTCTCTTCAAATCTGCACAGTGGAACTCTCTGCTCTCTCTCTCTCTCAGGGTAACTGATGGGCTTGTGACTACAACATAGAATTGCAATCCAAGTTTACGTTAGTTGATGAAAGTTCATGCTTTACTGACAAACTTAATTAGGTAAGTTTGTAATTGCTTGTTTGTTTTTCAATAACTTGCACTGTCTTTTTTTAGCTTTATTGTGGAGGATTAAATTAGTTCATGTATTTTCCACTGGTTTCATGTACCATCTTATATTTTGCACTAGCTCAAATATATACTACTCGTGTTTTCTAATTTAATGGCAGACGGTGTTTTTGGAGCCATGATGAAGGCAAGTGAAGTCCTTACTCTCCCACTGTGCCATACATTTGATTTCTTTGTCACATTGAGCATATTACTGACTGTTCGAATTATTTGAAAGTTAAATTTTATTTCGGACTGCAGGTTCACTTGGTAAACGATGGCCCAGTCACCATGCAACTTGATTCTTCAGGACCATCTGAGTAAGCAAAGGATAACTTTATTTGCAACTTACTTCTTGGTCACTTGTTCTCAGTGTAACACATTGTGACTATTTGCTGATGGTTTCCTAGGAGTCCAAATGAAGCACCCTACGATGAACCATGATTTGAGTTGGCAAAAGTTGTATATGGAAGGCTCAACAAATATCAAATTGTCCACTTGAAATGCTAGCAAAAGTAAACTCCCAAGAAATGCTCAAGAATTCGTAATATGGTTGCAGGTAAGAGCAAAAGCGTTGGTTATATCCTGCAATTGCCTTTTCTTTCTTGGCTAAGTTTGTAATTGTCAAAGTTAGTTGGGTTGTATAAACATGATATATGAGCAACCCAACCCAGTGCTAGGATGTTTGTTTACATTTTGGTAATTTATTTTGTCAGCCCATTTTTCAACAAAATCAATGTCATCAACATTTCTTTTTTCTGAAATGAACATGTTGCGCAAGACAAATGTGTGTTGCACTTGTGAGTCTTTTTTATAGATAATAAAATTCTTGAAAGCCAAAGTAGAGGTGAAAGTGGGTTGAGTTTTGGCCACGGCCAACCCCTGCCAATGTGATGAAGCAATCAATCTTGATCCGTTATAGGCTTAAACCCAGCCCAAGCCTGCCTCCCTCCCCAACTCCACCCCCCGCACCCCCGTCTCCCCCCAACATGGGGGCCTCTCCTCAGGGGGGACCCTCTCTCTACGTGTGTGTATAGCACAAGCACACAAGATACTTGTTCAGACATTAGGCCTAGAGCTAATGAATTTTGCTCGTCTGCCCCTTAATAGTAAGTTGGGGAATGATATCGGCAAACCAAAAACAGGTAATAAATTTCGTTCAAAAATTGGAGGCAAAGTTGGGGCACAAACATGAACCAAAAAAAATTAGGTAACTTGATACCTGATTGCCAATAGGTCCAAACATAGATGTACTTTCTACAATTTTTTATTTACTGTAGTGACTTGCTTTGTACTGATATTCAACCTTCACGCTCATCGATATCCTAATTTCATTCCCAACTTGGGGCAAATCGTGGTGAAATTTCAATCAACGTTTGCCAGTGTGGAGATCCAGGGCCTAAAAGACCTTAACGAAAAAGGACATGATAAAAACATTTTGGTGCAATAATGTTACCACAACATGCCATGCGTTGACCTTAAACATAATGCTAAAAGCCTTGCAGAGAGAAGGGCAAGATTTGGATCGAGCAGAGGATCATTTACTAGTGGAAGCAATAAGGCAGGGGAGTGCAGCAAGCATGAAAGATCATGGTGAGTTGTGATTTGGAGCTTGGCTCTTTTGAAGTATTAGTTAACCTTACAAAAAAAGAAAAAGACAAAAAAAAACAAAGGCATCAGCAATGTTTTTTTTTAAAATCAACGGAAGAGATAAAAATAAAAATAGATAAGAGAAGTAAAGCCTTTTTGTAAGTTCTTGGAGGATATATTAGAGAGAGAAAAATAGAGTTCTTTTTTTTGTTTTTTTAGATAGGAGATATGAAGGTGATGGTAAGACAAAACTACCTTATCAAATCCCTCTTACACAAGTAAATTCCTATGAAGAAGGCAGTTCTCAGATCCCTCCTGCACAAGTAAATTCCTACGAATAGGTGAGAAGAGATTAAATAGGATGCCTAGGCTTATTCAGACTCAGACCGGTTGGGTGTGATGTAGTCTACCCCAATAATTATCATGAGCAGTAGCTTGCGGTAATGAATTCACTCTTATTTGATACGACATTTAAGAATAATATGGTTTCCTAGACTAACGCACCAAGAGAACAATCTCAAGAGAAAACTTTTGTTTCAAATTTCGCTGGTTTTGTTTGAATGCAAATGGTACAATTTATAAGCTTCAAGATGGATCTTTTGTCTCTTTCATGTTATGTCAAAATAAAAAAAAACATCAAATCAAATCATACTTTACCTCCCATCTCAAAAGAAAAAGAAATTTAATATCATCTCAAGAAAAAGGAAGAGTAATAGCTTTGCATCACCTCAAAAAAGTAAAGAAATAGTAACTTTACATCGCTTCAAGAAAAGTAAATGAATAATAAGAGGAAATAGTAGAGGTCTTTATATCACTCCAAAACTCTATATTTTTGTAATGTCAGCGAGGAATGTTGTCTTCCTTCAATATTTTCATATAGTCTTCTAGATGATTCAAGCAAAATTCTTTGTTTTTCTTTTGGAATGACACACACTTCTGTATTTCTATCTGTAGGGCAATTAATTCATTTAAAGAATACCCATCTTTTCCAAAAAAAAATTCATCATCACAAAGATATTCATCTTAGTATCTTCTGACAATTCCGGCTTCTATGCAAACACATTCTTAAATTTCCTTCCCATTTGTTGCATCCCAATGGTTTATACCTTGCTCTACTCCTTTAGTCCACCTTTGGAAGTTCTTCTCGGACTTGAAGACCGGTGTGCTGAGAGGCATGGAAGTGTGAGGTTAGCTGCAGGCAAATGCGGGGAAAAATAGTGTTGAGGAACGAACAAGAAGCCAGTAGAATATTGAGAAAGAAGTTACATAGGTTTAAAGGTTCTTTAATGTGTTTAGTGTGGGCAGGCCCCTGCCCCAACAGAGAGAGAGGTTGGAGCACCTTGCCCTGACCCACTGGAGAGAGAGAGGTTGGGGCTAGCACATAACCCCAAGAGAGAGTGAGAGGTTGTACTACAACATAAATCTATCGATTATTTTAATAAAATGTCAATTAGTGAACAAATTAGCCGATTCGTGTACAAGTCGGCCCATTAGCATCACTTAGTGTATAAATTGGCTGACTTGTACAATAAATCGGCCGACTAGTGCACTATAGGAGAATGCTGCAAAATATATAGCCTATGAAAAAAGGCTTACTTGAGCTTAGTCAGTGCCCAAGTCCGAATTAGTAGGCCGATTTTTAAAAATCAGCCGACTTTTCAAAACACTGATCCAAACTTATTGGAGCACAATGTGGAAAACTGGTGGAGATTGATGGAAAAACCTCACCTAAATTACGTCGTTGGGATTGAGCAATGAGATGAGGGTAGGCCAGACCAAGCGAAGGGTCGGGGAGATGTTGGTAGCCATGAATGTCACTTTCAATGGCTCTGTGAAAGTGATTGAAAAACCTTGATGGAGGAAGGCAGGTCAAGTCTTAGGAGACGCATAGCAAGAAAAAAAAAGGAAATAAGAAGTTCACAATGCAGTTGGATAACTCCCCACATTCAGTAGACCATTGTGGGATCACCATATGGGGGCTTTTTGTAAACCTAAATGAGAATATTTTGTTGGAATATCAAGGGTTTAGAAGACATGAAAAAAAGAGCGATATTATCCCCACTTGTTAAAAGCTGGAAAACTCAGATCCTTGTCCTCCAAGAAACAAACAATGCATTTCCATGGGAGTGATTAAAGTTAGATTGAGGATGAGATGGGACCTTATAGTTACAAGCTAAATTTTGATGGTAGTTCTTTCGGCAATCTTAGTGTGGTTGGTATTGGAAGAGTGACGAGAGATTGGAATGGGCAAGTCCTTACACGTTTGCTATCACTAACGACGCAGAATTTTCTTCTCTATTGCAGGGCCTTAAGCTCTTTAAGGAGAGATTTTCGGCTTGTATAATATAACGTGTGCCATGGTTGCTTAAGTTTTTGGCTGGAGGTAATCGATTTGGCTAGTTCCTAGATTATTTCTGCATTTATAGTGAAGTTGCCGATCTTTGCCAAAAGATCGACCTTCGTTTTTCAGATATTAAAATTTCAAATATTGTAAATGATTTGTTGTAATCCATCTACTTGAGCAATAAAATGATTTAAACCTTTTGTAAAAATAAAAATAAAAAATGTCTTTTTTCAGCCCTTCTAGTCTTTCTCATGTTGGTGATTCGGGGGCTATGTTGATGGTATGGGATCCTTCTTATATTAAGGGATCGAATTTTGATGTATACACGTTTATTTCTATTCGTTTTGAAGGACCTTATATGAGGGAATCTAAACACAAAAAATTGAATTACACCTTGTATGTGAAGATATACACCAAAATGAATAAATTGATCTCCCAATTGTTCGAACAGCATTCACATAGTCAAACAACTCAGTCCAAAACTTACATATATCTGAGATTGACCGTGTATTGATAACTAACTCCCAGGAGGCAGATTCCATAAGGTGGTGGTAAAAGCAAGCACCGACAAAAGTATCCCCTGACCATCCAATTTGAACAATTAATCGAAATCAACATACATAAACTACTCCAAAATTCTAGGAACTGCTAACAACTACAGTATTATAGAGCAGACTAATGAGAAACTTTTGGCCAAGTTCAATTCTGTTTCATGGAATAGGAGACAAAACCCATCATATTTGTATGGAAAAAACTATTTCCTGAGAACTACATATTTTATGAAAAACAATTCCTATAATAATAGGTTTTTCTTGTTCGGAGGAATCTATATGCACCTTGGAAGATACATTTCTACCTGGAAAAACAGCTAAATTCAATGAATTTCTAGAGATGAAAATATGATTGATAGGAAATGAATTTCTAGAGATGAAAATATGATTGATAAGAAGTGGCTAGAACAAGATAGAAGTATTGATAGGAAGTGGCTAGAACAAGATAGAAGTAGAAAGATATTTCTATGCATAAGGAAGGACAGAGAGAGGCGAGTCAAAGATATAATAATTTTTTAGAATGGGAGAGAGAGAGAGAGAGAGAAAACAAGGATAGAGTGGGTTAGGGGGAGAGAGGAAGAGATTGCCCTTTTTTGTCTATGCCCCAATTAGCTATACACTCATTTTCATTTTTTTGTTAAATTAGATTTTTAGCTTGTGCAGAGAAAAACAACCTCCTTTTTGGCACAAAATAGAGAAAAACATTTTCTAGCAAAAGAAAATTTCCATCCAAAATTTTGAAACCAAACGACAGTAACGGACAATCCCCCTGAAAAACTTTCTAGTAGTCTGTTTCTAGGATCCAAATAGCGCCTCAAGATCCTTAAAATTCCTAGGAATGGGTAATATTTAGGGTTTTATAAAGCACAAACGAAAGATTTCAGGTAGATTTCGTTTGTGTTAAAGTAAAAGAGAGCCCCAAAAACATCATTTCAAGTCCTAAAATATGCAACAGGACCACATATCACAATAAAATCACACTCGGTTCCTGTGCCTCCAACTTTATAGCTTGAGGTAACGCAATTGGGTGCTTGGAAATGTGTTTAAAGAGATAAAAGGAGGGGTATGAGAGTAAGAAAACTGAATTCAGATAATTTTTGTATCGTAAAAATGCGAACCAGCAAATTAGTAATGTTTGGATCCAAAAAATTTCAAGTAAAAAAACAAAAAAGTCATTCTAACAAACCAGAATTCAAACACCTTATCCCTGATCTGAAAACTTATGTTATCAAAGAAGGTAAGAAACTTTCCCAGATTAGGATAATATTTGAAGGGGCAATATCCTAAGGGTGCGGTTAGTATAGAGCCTAGGCTCTAAACAATCAAGTTAGAGCCTACCTTCAAATAATATCGAGAAAGGCTGTTTCAATACTGGAAATCTTTGTGATAGCCTTAAAATATATTTTCATATTTATTTATAAAGTTTAAAGCTTCAAAAATAGTGTACATCGGCAGATCTATGAAAACTAGAAAATTGACGGTCCAAAAATGCGTTAAAAAATACACTATTTCCAAAACTTGAAATCCATTTTTTTCTCATGTCCATACATCTTGATATCGAGATTATCAATTTACAGATATTTAAGCACCAAAACAACTTTTTCTAGTGAAATTTTTTAGGTAAACTTAAATTTGATTGTTTAGAGCTCTATATAAACTTTTTCCATATCCTAAGAGGATCAAGATATATACAGAGCATTATTAAGAATTAATGGTAACTAAAAAAATATACAAAAGAAATCACAGAAGAGAACGTATATAATGAGACAAGAAGGTAAAAACAAGGGATCTGCCATTGAGTCCTAAAAACTAGTGTTCGGACAAATGGCAAACTTGTTCTGCCCATCATTAGGGGGGCAAAATACTATCAAATGTAGCACTGGACCAGCAATACTTCATCTCAAGTTCGATTCCTACTGCTGAACCACCTAAAATATGTGAGACCTTACCGCGAAGAACTAAATAGCTCAATCAATCAAAGAGAGGCATCAGGGCTAATGCAGTCTGGCTCACATAAAATGTTCTCTTTGCCACAAGCATGATGGCATGGTGTCCACTGCATTTACAGTGCCTTAAATCAAATTATGTTCCAAAATATTCTTATTTTCATTCATCGTTTTTTTGAAAATTAAGCAATCTAACAGCTTTCCATTAAGTATTCCCCATCAAGGGTATTCAAGGGTTTCCAAAAAAAAAAGGACTACCAAATTATCAATAAGAGAAAAGAGAATATGTAAAAGGAAAAAGTTTATATAAGGTTGCAACCTTAAAATGTAGAATTACAGGTGCACCTCAAAATTCCTTTATAAAAGGTTGTTTGGATGTTGAAAAACCCTCTAATTGATCATCTCGACATCGAGATGTATGAATGTAAAAAAAAAAAAGATTTCAAATCCGCAAGATAGTGTCTTGCAACACATTATTTGGACCGTCCATTTTCAAGATTTTCATGTGTTTATAAATCTACTTGATTTGAACCATTTTTAGAGTTTAAAATTTAATAATTTGAGATGAAAATAGATTCTCAAACGATCCTAAAACTTTTAAATATCATAAATGTACAAAATTACATTTATGATAAAATTTAGAAGTGCAACTTAATTGGATTGTTTAAGGTTGCAACCTTACACAAACCACACCCTATCTAAAAAGGAGCCAAGGCCTAATGTTAAACCATACGGACAGGACCGTTACGATTCCAAAGGAATGCATGTTGAACGTTCGAACAATGCCGAATTATCTAAGGCATTTCTTACAAATTTGTTTATAGAAAATATTTTTGGCGGCATAGAAATATAATATGTTGAAAAATAAGAATTAAAATTATTAGAAAAATAAATATGTATGTTCAAATAGGAGATACATCATCGAAAAATTCCAAAGATGTGCATAGATATAACGATAGGAAGGGTTGGGTTGGGTTGGGTCCGGGTCACCTGAACCTGACCTCGAACCAGGTTAGGTCCAAGTCAATGGGACCCAGACCTGACCCACCAATTCGGGTCAGGTCTAGGTATATAAATAAAAACATAATATAAAAAAAAACTTATATATTTTATATTAGGGTGAGGTTTGTATAAGGTTGGAGCCTTAAACAATCAAGGTAAGGCATACCTCCAAATGATATCTAAAGATTTGTGTTTCCAATGCCAAGAATCCCCAAGATAGTCTAGAAATCTACTTTCCTCTCTAATTATAAAATTTAAAGCTTCAAAAATGGTATAGATCTAACACATCTACAACCACCTGAAAATGGACAGTTCAAATAATATATTACAAGCTACAATATTTTCAAGACTTGAAACCATTTTCATAAGGTCAAGATGATCAATTGGAGGCTTTTTGAGCATCAAAACAATATTTTCCAATGAGCTTTTGGGGTGCGTCTTGCTTACATAAGTGGAACTAGAGACGTATCACATATATTCAATTGAAAATAGCTTGATCTTTTTAAGAAAAGAGGGTATTTCGGTATCATATACAAGATTATACTGTGGGATTTCAAAACATTAAAGATGCTTCTAAATTTCCTGTTAAAAAAGACTCTAATGAACTTCAAAATTCTTGCAGCAATGTGATTAACTGAACATGAAAATAAATAAAAAACGGCATACTATAAATGCTCTGCACGCATACCAGAAACACTCCCAATGAGTATGTGTTTGTGTGTGCATGTGTGTGAAAGAGAGACTCTTTTATTCCCATAAAAAAACACAACTCACCCAAATATATAGTAACAATTATCATCGTCATGATATTAATTTCAATAAATTTTATCGGGTTATTATTGGTTGGGTCTTTTTTGTCCAGGATTTATCAGAATTTAATCGAAATGTTAATACATAAACGTTAAAATATATTCTTTGGGATAAATATAAATTCACTTTCAATGGTAATAATGATTACTTCTTTAAATTTTAAATTCTAAGATATAATTAAGGTTTAAAAGTCAAACATAGAATTTTGCTATTTTAAATATAACCGATATGTTACCAATTAGAAAGGGTATCTTTGAGTTGAGTTTTTTGTTTATTCAAAATTGATTGTTCACAATGCTGTTTATTACTATCGTAATAATGCCTGAGAGGCCCATATTACCGTGATAAATTTATCTTATTGTGATAGAATTAGATATATTATTGGCTCTAGATTTCTCGTGAGAAAAACAAGAGATTCAAAATATTGGCGATAATTGTCACTAGGCAAAAGTAAAGAAAAAACCATACCTTTACAAAACTTGGTGAGATCCTATGGATGACATTTGGCATTTAGAGAGATTTCTCAATGTGTACTCCTTCGCAGTTTCTCAGAAATTAGCTGCTATTCTTAGAAAGAATGGCAGCTGCAGTAAACACAGCTTCTTTGGCAAAAGGCATTAGCTCCACATTCCTGCTCGCCATGCATGGCATTTAAGTAATGGCTCACAATGTTCAGTTTCAAAAACAGTAATGGCTTACAGTGCTTATAAAATATATACAAGTCTGCTCCTAGAGAGTATCTAATTAATGGTTTAGCTTAAATGTGCAGTGTTTGGATATAAGCAATCAACCATCTGATGCTTGGTTACCAAGCATTCACCCAACCATGTGATAATTGGGGGAGAATTAGGAAACTGTAGGAAACCCAAATAATAACACAGCATAAGGGCAGAAGGGTGCATGTGGTGTACTCCCCCAATAGTAGATTGTACACACTCCTGCAGGCAAAACACCAACCTGGGCGATTCTTTTTTTCTTCAGAAATTTATAAAACCACACCTACAATATCAACCAACGTTTCACCCATTCTTTTGGTGCAGTTTCAAAAGGCCCATCAAAGGCACGTTGTCATGTGATAAAAACTGGGGAAAGGGCATTTTTCACTTTTCCCGTGCTGTCAAAACCAAAGTGGTTTTCTTAAAGAGAAAGTTAATATAAGGCTGCGGCCTTACCCTAACAATTAAGGCTTCGGCCTTACCCTAACAATTAAGACTGCAGCCTTATCCACTGTCCAAGAATATGGACCATGTAGATTTTTGAAACCAGGGACTAGAAGCCCTAGTTTCCCCTCTCTAACCCCACTATCTCTCTCTAACTCTCTAACCCCTCCCTCTTTTTAATCACTCTCTGTGGCCTTTGCCACTAAATTTCCAGCCATTTTCCTGGCCACTAGAGATCAACTTTTATATATCCAATTGGATCGAAGCCATTATCGTAGTTCCCCTGTTCTCCATCTCCACACTCTTTGCTTCAAACTCAACTCTAACCTTCTCAATGTCTCTGATCACCTTCCTTTCTCTCTGTTCTAACTACATCAAAAAGCCTGAATAACCCAAGTCGCCTTTTTCTTTTCTCAATAGAACCTTATGATTTGGAGGAATATGTTCGGGAACTTCATGACTGGCAGGAATCTTCACTGCTACTCCATATGGCTCAGCCTTACAAGAAGACGAGTCTTTGAAACAAAGGCCATGAAGAAACAGCTCCACTGTTTGACTCGAATATAGAACGCTTCTTCATTGACTCGGTCAAACAGAGAGAGATGGAAAACCAACCCTCAATAAGCAGTTCAATCAATTGCACATTAGCCTTCAAGAATGAAACCGATTAAACCTAGTTTGATCTGGGTTTAATCACACCAAGTCCTTTCTCTCAGTCCTATTGCACAAAACACAGGCTGAAATCAATCAAACCATGTTCAATCTGGGCTTAATATTACCCACTCCTTTATCTCACAGGACTGTTCTCAGTGATTGGGTTTATGAGTCTTGTGATGGTGTTTCTCTCTCTAGCCTTGAGCATCAGGCTCTTTTTCTCTCTTCTTGATGTCCCCACAATTAGAAACCATTTAAATCTGATGGAGGGAAAAAATTGGAAAGTGCCCCACTTAGAAATTCGAATCCATGATTATGTTTCCTTTGATGCATTATGAAATTAAACCCAAAGAAATGGATGAGATGCTAACTACATCATATCTTGGGTATTGTTTGACAAATTTCCCTTCTCTCCTTTGATCTGAAATCTCGCGAATCACCTTTGACTCACTATATAAACAATTTCCTAAGAAAAGACATGATTTTGGAGCTATTGAAAACATAGATTTGAACATCCATCAAATGCATGGTCGAAGTAACTGTCGGAGTGGTTATCGTTTGGACCAATTTTTAGGGTGCGAATTCAACTTTTTTGTTTTTTAAGATTGATCTCTATGATGCATGGAGGCGATCCACAAAATTCTGCTAAACAGGTTTAGCCCACCAGAAAAAAAAGTACAATTTACTCCCATGGAAGCACCAAACCCTCTGCCTCTTTTTCCTGAATGGTGCCCCGGTTACTAGGTGGGAAGGCCCTCCCCCTTTTTGATTAGGAGATCTAGGCTCATAATATAGGCACAAACTCTTTACAGAGACAATATTACAATACATATCTTAATGCATAGTTTTATATTATGACAAATACCATAATGCATAAGTTCATATTTTATCCATTTTATATTCTAAATCTTTCTATTATTTTAGATTTAGAAGTATTTGGTATTAGTATGGGTTTCATATGGAGTCAATAAAATAGCTCTCAATCTTGTCTTCTAAGACCAGATGTAAGGCAACCACAATACTAAGTATGGAATGTTCAAGGACAATATCATGCTAGCATAAACAAGTTTGCAAATCTAACAAGTCCTTCATCAGAATGTGACAGGGAAGTGAATGAAAATCCTTAATGTAGGAATGTCGCCTCAGTTTAAGGTGGGTCTTGAGCCATTTGCTATCATAGTTTATACTTGATTAAGTAGCATATATGTAATTGGGTAATCCATTGTGCATATTAACCTCAAAAAGTATTTGTCATTTGATACAATCTTTGAACCCCCATTGTTGTCATTGAAAATTAGTTTTTCTCGACTTCACAATCTCATAGTACTAGAAATTTCACATTCCACATGCAGGATTTGCATTAATTCTTGGTCATTTGAAAAGTCAATCCTAACAATGAAGAAGATACAATGCACTTCACGGCAACTGCTAAGCAAGGTTCTCCAGAACATACGAGCTATTTAATGCAGCTTGACGTCCATAATGTGCATTGATTTCATATTGGAAAGTTATTTGTTGAATCAGGAGACATAAGAAGGCGGCACTGCTCTAACATAACATATGCTACGGTCTAACAGATAGTGACAACGAACACTCACCCATCAGCAATCTGCAGATTGCGAAAAGCCAAAATCAGACTCTTCGAGATATGTGCCACAGAATTTTCATGATCCTTGTGGTACTTCCAGTCCTGATGTAGAGATAAATAAGCCTGAACAGAAGAAGCCAGTAAAACCATTACAGGAATATTAAGAGAATGAGCTCAATTACCCAAAATCATTTCCATGATGAGGTCCCAAAGGCTCATAAAACAATCATATCTAAGGTTTGTATCCTCGAATAGTTGCAGGGCCAAATCTTTGAAATTTGTGACAACATACAAGTCTCTTGGAAGTATGCATGGCACAAGGCACACAGGGGATAGTATGCATTGATAATTTTCACATCAACCCATTTCATTCCTGAAAGGACATTTTATCTAGACCATTGTTCAAATTTCATTTGAGGCCATGGGCCAATTTCATGTATACATTTTTAAACAATACAGTGTAAATTTTGTTAATAAATAAATAAAATAAACTGCCATTACATCCAGTTCTGTTCATTACAAAACCATATCCAAAATAGTGTGGTCCTTTTTACATAAAGGCAGGCCATCCTAAAACAGATCCTTATCATCGGACTTCAGACAATTGAATTCTATAAAGTTATACAGTTTCCAATAAAACTGTGGGCCAGAAATCTAGATTAAACTGAAATACTTGTAATAGTATAATGAGAATTTCTTTTTTGTGGTGAAGTGGTAACAGAATGAGAATCCATTATCATCATCAAAATACACATCAAAAAATCAAACAAGGAACAGGAATCCATGACAAGATAGACTGTTTCTGAAAACAGATTGCAGTACTAAATAAATATTTTAAGGACCCAAAATTACAGTTGCCAATAAAAAAAGGGCATGTATAGAAGAAGGGAAAAGTTTATATAGAGCCGAGGCTCTAAACAATCAAATAAGAGCCTACCTCAAAAATTTCACTAGAAGGGGTTGTTTTGATGCACAAATATCCTCAAATTGATCATCTTGACATCAAAATGCATGGACATGAGAAAAAAAATGAATTTCAAGTTTTGGAAATAGTGTATTTTGTAATGCATTTTTGGATCGTCAATTTTCAAGTTTTCATATATCTGTCGATCTACATTATTTTTGAAGCTTTAAACTTTATAAATAAAGATGAAAATATATTTTAAGGCTATCACAAATATTTCCAGTATTAAAACCAAATTTCTCGACACTATTTGAAGGTAGGCACTAATTTGATTGTTTAGAGCCTAGGTTCTATACAAACTGCACCCAGAGAAGAATAATGGTCCAACATGTAGAAATGGTAAGAAAAACAATAAAGCAAAATAAAAGTATTAAACATCAGAAGCAAAGACAGAAACAAATAGAACTAAAAGAAATGAGGGGGAAAAAGAATAAAGAACAATGTAGAAAAGAAAGATAACAGAAAAAAAAAAAAAAAAAGGGTTAAAATAGATAAAAAGTCAGGTAAAGTGTATACTTAAAAGAACAAAAAGAAAACACAAAAAAGGACTCGACATACCAAACCTAACAGCAGGTAAAAATTGCACATTAAATCAAAGAAATGAGATAATAAAAAAATTAACATACTGGAAATTATAAGGACCTTTTAATAATGTAACAGCGGAAACATAAGACTACAAGAGAAAGAAAAAGTGAACACTGTAGCAAATAAATGACAAACGGAATAAAGGTTAAGATAGCCAAATGTTCCAAGGAAATAACAAATACGGAAATTTATCAAAATGCACATAAGAGATGAATTATTTAACATTACACATTTCCTTAAATTTAATTTCAAAATACCCAACCAAATACAAATGATCATCATTCGAAATAGTTGCAAAAGGAAGGTGCATTTCGATAATTTTCCCCAAAAACTAAAATGAAGTATGACAATAGAAACAATAAATAAATAAATAAAATTCAAGAATGTGGTCTGAAATTGACAACAATATTGGGGTTTGTGGCCTTTAAAGCCTGTGAGAGCATATAAAAATAACATATAATAAATCGTACACTTCAGTGGGAATGAATGTCGGTTGCTGACCTATAATTGAGTGGTCCATGGCCCAGATCATGTCCAAAATCCTTTCCCATAGGCATAGGCACTACTATTGAGGGTTTTCTGGAGGGGTCACCCCTTATTGAAACTAGAGAGATGCCCAAGGATGACGTATACAGACCAAGAGAGCTTCGTATCTCCTGTATAAGGTTGTAGGCCTGTAAGAACTAGGGTCAAATTCTCAACAAAATATGTTGCATCACATGCACTTATGACAGCCACCTATTCTGGGAAGCAACCCAACAAAGGGATACATGGACATGTGCGTAGAAATTCTTCCCCTGACACTATCATGAGCCCCTATGTATGACTATAGGTCATGAGTCTTATTGGGTTGGTTCAAAAAGATAATTGTGGATCACATATCCTAGCACATGTAATGTGGACAATCATTTTTATTGACCCATTGGTACCAATCCATTTCTAGAGCTATTTCTAAGTGCTTCAGAATTTTTAAACACTTCAGAAATATGTTTTCAGCTTTATTTATATTTCTGTAATTTTTAAATATTTTTCAGAATTTTAAAAATTATTTTATCAAATCCCTTAAACGGGCAGTGATGATAGTCTAAAACTTAGTAGGGGCAAGGTGGGATCCACGTGGGGGCTAGGGGCCAGGGCCCACATGGGGTGTAACGTGGGGCCAAAATGGGCCACATAGGTGGGACACTCCACTAAATTTAAAATATTAATTTTGTTACGACAAAATTTTGATGAAATCTTGTAAGAAAATTTTGTTGAAAAATATTTTCCTATGACCTTGAATTGAATCTTCATCTTAACTTTGACTTCTAAAGTTATTAAAAGTTAATTCTATATGAGTAAAGAGTCCGAATTTTATGAGACTATGGAAGATTTAGTTTTAGTCTAACTAGAAGTGGATGTGGGTCAAAAATTCAGAAGGATAAGGTTCCTAAGATTCCTCCCTAGCATGATGGCTGATTTCAGTGATAGATGGCTCTGATTTGATCTCTCTTACCTCACAGATTACCTAGAAATCCTAATATTGAATCCTAATCCAGGTTGGAAGTTGGAATACCCTAGGCCCATTAGGCTTATATAAGGAGGGGTCATCCCCTCGTTCTCTTCACCCTTCAGTTCAGACCTCTCTCTGTGTCTCCTCTTCTCCACTCCCCTGTCTAGTTGCCTCTCTCCTCTCTCTCTAGGGAAGGTATGCCCAACCTAAAAGGCAGGGTTATAAGGGTGGCACACACCACCCAAGCTAGCCAAGTAGCGGGGTGCTTCCTAGTTCAAAGGATTCAACACGAATCCAGTGTGGGGTGTGCTAAGTCCTAAGGGGGTAACTCTATGCAAAGGTTCAATAAGTCCTCCTAGTTTTTCTTTATTAGTTTATTTTTAGTCCTTGATTCATGTTTGTTTTAAAAATCCTAATTATATTAGGAGTTATAATTAGATTAGGATTCCTACTTGGACTAGAATCCTACTTAGATTAGCATTCCTAATTGTATTAGAATTCATATTGTAAGTTTGAATTTAGTTTTAAATAGAAGTTTTATTGCAAGTAAGAGTTAAAGATCTTAGATTGTAATAGGTCTATTTCTGCATTGTATTTAGCAATTGAAAGTAGAAATTCTAATTATTGCTTGATAAGAGTTAACTGTATTGCTATAAAGTGTAGTTGTACATAAAGTGTTTAAACCGAGAGTCTAGAAATTCTAATTATTAATAAAGAAAAGAGAAAAGTTTTTGAATTTATATTTTCGAATTCTACATAGCCACACCTTTCAAATAAATAACCCATAGAAAATAAAATGACATGTAGAAAATACAAGAATGCATCTTTGTTATTGAAATGGACCCAAAATCAAAAGATTCTACAGTTTGGAAGAACATATTCATGAAGATAATGAAAATTGTTGGGAGAAATTTAGGGAACTCTACAGCAAGATAAGTTGACAATAAAACAGCCATACGCCAAAACAAGTGTATTCAGTGTGCATCCTATCTTAAACAAGCATTAGATGAATGATTTAAATGAATGAATGGCAATTGCTTCTTACATGACTTTTTTCTATTATTTCTGGAATGCATGTATTGTTGTTCCCCCTTGAGATCTTAAAATTTTTAAAAAATAAAAATATAAAAATAAATGTGTGGTGACGGTCGACGAAGCAGCAAAGAATGAAAAGAACTTAAGTGCAAACTCTTTTGCTTAGAAATTTCATAATATTCAAGTATAATTATTAACTTCATCAGAAAACTTACACGAATTGAAATCCAGGATCAGAAGCAAAGCAAATATACTCACACGCATGAGATAGTTTGAACTCTCATACCATCAGTTATTAAATGTTGAGTCAAAGATACAGCACCAAGTGCATAGAGTTTTATGCATCAAAAAGAAAAGCATTTTGAGTTCATGACATCCACCAGCTTAATGGAATAATGTAACCTCACCTGGAAACCATGGGAAAGAAGCATTAGAACAACTTGTATGCTTATTTTTCTAATGGCTTTCTTCGAATTAGCTTCATTTGAAAAGAGCTTCAAGACAGCGCCAAGTGTCCTATCATCCAAGGATTTAGTAGAACTCCTTGTTTGAACAGAAAACTGTAGCAAACAAAAAAGAGCACCAATCAGAGATTTCTTCTCAAAACAAGGCATTAATAATGAGAAGCATTCCTTATGCGCAAAACATGATCAATTGAACCATCCATAAATAGTTTTACACATTCACATATGAAAACGAAGCTTGGAAAAAAAACTGCACAAATGCATAGCATGAGAGGAAAACTGTTCTGTGCCATTATATGTGAACGATAGATGACAAGGCTTTCCTAAAGATAAGGCACGATGAGTGATCATTTCAACAGAAACTCCACATGTAGACATCAAAAATGTAAAGGTTGGATATGACATTCAGTTGTATTTTCCATTTCTAAAAAGTTCTGAAAAGGGGTTTAAGCGACCTAACATATGTCACCACATCAATTGAAGTCAAGAGCACACACCTGATGTGAGAAAGTATGAACTGTTTTCCCATCAATGTAAACTCAGTATTACTTTGATAGATGTTAAAAAAGCTTGAATATTGATTCAAACGGTTGGGCAAATCCAATAAAAAAAACCTTCCAATTATGCCTGTGATCAACTGTATAGTTTGTGTAATGATCACACGTAGATTTGCTATGATCAAAATCAAACCCTATCTTCAAACTTGTAGAACAAATTACATTCATGATCACATCAAAGAAACCATATTTCTGTGTATTTCATTCTTTTACATATATTATAAATTATTCCAATGATCAAAGAGAACTATATCCTTAAGAAAACTATATGTGAATTTGTCCTCACAAAAAGTAATAGGAATGGTTTAGAAAGGTGAAAAAATACCGCTCCACAATACTTCCAAATATACCGTAAGATTATTTCCATCTTCCATTTGGCTTCAGAAAACCCCTGTTAAACATAATCATGAGAACTTCAAAAGGCAGAAAATAAAATACAAAGGAGTATCTCATATCGATGTTGCACATAGGATGAAGAGGAACTGTAAACAGACGTACAATTACCTGCAGAAAAGGAAAAAGCAGCTCTTTGCTGTATGTGAGCTCATCTAGGATTATCTCCAACAGAGGTGTCCTATGTCAGATCCAAGAATTATATTCTTGACCCCCATAATAACAAAGTTTAACGAGAAAGAGAGTTTCCTACGACAAACGTTCTACTATTATAGACAGTAAACATACCTCAAACCATCTGTCCTGGAAGTGCGACTGCTCATGCTGGCTTCATTCTTTAATGTGTCAAGTTCCATGATCTACAAGAAAATATCATGGTCAAACAACAAAACCTTAAGAAACTTTCAACTTGTATTGGTGCTTGATGCATCTGAAAAATCAAAATGAAACATAAATAATGACCTGGGATAGCATACCATTGATATAAATGTCCTGACAGAGGCATAAGTTGCGTTCACTAATTCAGTTACTGCATTGGGCATAAAAACATCATGATCACATATGTCTCTTGGCAAATTTTGCTGTGACTTCTTCTGATCATAATGATTGATATCACCATGATTATTTAACGTCCCAGTTAAAATGCACAAGCAATCCCTGACAAGGGTCTTGAAACTTAATCTTCTTGACCCCTGAACATCACATTCCGCATTAACAATTTCAAATTACTTTTCTGAAAGGAATTTATCAGAGAAGCAGCATTGCAGAAGAAAAACATTTACGTTCTGGTTATAGCAGAAAAAAAGGGGCATATCAAAAATTAAGAATTCACCAGAAGTTGGTTAAGTAAAGACTCCCTAAGAATAGTCCAGTCCTCCGTATCTGCAATACAACGCAGGTGACTGAATGCTTCCCCATCCGAATAGCATCAAAAGGCCAAGCCTAAAGACCAGGGATCATCATCATTATAAAAGTTACTTCTGACCTTTATAAATGGCACATCGAGGCAAGAAATCATCTTCAATAACACGCACAAGATACTGGAACAATAATACAGTACCCAAGCTCTGCAAAGGTAAAATCATGAAGTGGTTAAGTTACAGTCATGCAATGGCTTACATGACACAAACTTTTATGTATTAAAGTCACCATCTTCTAAGTGTAAATGTAAATACTAATTGTTTAATAAGAACAAGGTGTGATTTTGTATTTGATACAGTTTGATCGTTTTCAGCACCTAGTTAGCCTTTAGCAGGAAACATTAGCATAAGAAGGTTTTCTTGCAGCATACTCAGTCCCTGTAAAATCTATCATAAAAAGTCAACGAAACATGACTTGAAAGAAGATTCATGCATACTCTGGTATTTCTAGGAGAATATGAGGTTTATAAACTTGGTTGAGCCCCCCAATAGGGCACGCAGATGGTAGAGAAGCATAAAAGCTCCACATTTGGCACCCATCTCCAAAGAGTTAAGCCTCATTGTTTCTTCCACCTTATAGAAGACCACTTCCATACTTGAAATCAGTCAGATATGCTTTAACCTTAAAGAAAGTATAATAGTATGATAAAAGCTGAAATTTTTATCAATAGTATGGATTAAGGTAACAGAATGTAGTCATTACAATATTTTTTATTCTCGATACTTTTTCCAACAACTGAAACAGCAGAGACTCAGCTGTTCAAATCGAAGAATGGTGCTCAGGGGGCTCATTGCTATCTTTGGCCATTCTAAAGAAAATATAGTAACAAAGATGAGGCAAAGTAGGGGATGGTTTAGCCACAAACTTAGTTGAAAATGAAAGAAGGCAAAAAACCATATATGATATGAGGTTGAATTGAGTGAAAAGACAGAGAACCCAACGAGGTCCACAGCATAATCTCTCACCTGAGAGCAGGATGGCTTTGGGGTAGATTGCCATGTGAAGAGTGAGCTGTTTCATTTCTTTTTTTCCTTTTTTTATTTTTTTTTTCTTTTTTCTTTTTCTGATTACACAAAATCCTTGCATGAGGTCACCGAAGCAACAAGCCATTCTCCCCATTTAGACAAGCACACAACGCCAGTAGTTAGTACACGCATGCATGCACATTTCTTGACGAGTCTCCTACATGGTCTTTTCTATACGTACATCTTACAAACGAAGCATGTATAGACATCAAGTATGCATGAGAGAAAAATTGATCATTCGAACTTAATGTTTGATCAACATAAAACCAGATAATCGTGTTACCCAGATGTATTTACACACTCTAAGCTTGGTTGTTTTTTTGGAGATTCTTCAAGGATCCAACTCTTGACCCCCTCATGCAGTTGCAAACTGGATGTCTACCACAAAACTAAAGCCTAAGGGACATACGATCATGTATCATTCAAGATTATATAATACTAAGAAAATCATGTAAATAATACGGATATAGCACATGTCATTGATCTCGGATAGAAGCACTCTGACAATATCCATCCATGCAGCACAAGAACCAGTGTCTATCAGTTAACAGTTGGCACGTACCCTTAGACCAAAAATAACAGTGACAGTAACGGCATCCCCCACAACCAGTACTTTTAGCATTAGTGACCCATGCTTACTCAGTGGCAACAACAAAGTATGGGTCATTTATTGACCATCATTTACTGACCATACTTATCCTAAAAGAGGGTCACACAGCAATCAATTCCACCGACAAAACAGAAAATCAAAAGATGGATGCTGAATAGAATTGGTATCTGGTTCTGTTCATATATAAAGAAAGGGAAATTTATCAAAGTACACCTAAGATTTGAACTATTTCAAATCTTGCCCATATTTTTTTTTATCTAATTCTAAATAACCCATCGTTCTTTTGATCAAATATCAAGTAGCCATCAAATAACGCATCACAATGGGTTTCGGAAATTATCAAAATACACCTAACGTAAAATGTTAAATAGTTCAAATATTAGGTTTATTTTGATGAATTTCCCATGAAATGGTAGTCACAGAGCTGTATCCTTCACTGAAACTCATATATTCTGTGCTTCTCGTACTTAATAGAACTAAGACTAATATTCCCTCAATTACCCTCATCTCTCTGTTTTTACTTGGCTAAAACAAGCATGGCTTAGTTAAAAGTTAGATGCATTCCAATCCTCTAACAAATGGTACCAAAATCTTCTTCAATAATCAGATACCTTTTTCTAAATTCCGTCATATCTATCAAACCATGTCGCCCACATGGTAACAATCACCATTATTGCCCCTACTTGTCTTATTCTTGGCTTCCACCTTCAACCAAACATCATCTGAATAAAACAAAGCTCACCCCTGCCAAGGCCTCTGGTTCATCTAAAAGTGACTCCAATTTACCCATGCAACAAGAATCAAGATAACCATGCAACCATCTAAGAAATCTTTCAGAGTCAACATGCATAAACGATTTTGAGAAATAACCTGACCTTCGTCTTAATTTAGGTATTATGTATCAGATAAAATATTATCATAGAGAGCACGTCATTCAAAGAAGAAAATAAAATGTTAAACTTTTGAGAATGAAACAAGCTAAATATAAAGGTCATTGGATAAAGTGGTTCCACTTACTTTTATGTCCATGGACTGCAAACTGCTAAGTGCTTCTGCAACATCATGTGTAATCAGAAGAAATTTCTGAAAAAATAACTACTTTTATCAGATTATTCTTTCCCACAATCAATTTTAGATACCGAATTAGTTATGGGTGTACAGGATGTGAGAAAAATATTTTAAAAGAACTGAATTCTGTAATTAAACGTGACAATTTTCACTGAAATAAAAATTCAATGATGCATACACATTTCTAAATTTAACAGTGGAAGCAGACTGACTGTGAAGCACTTAATGATGAGGAATTAACCGATAATTGCATATACACAGAGCAATGGGAAAGACATAAGCATCCCCCCCACAAAATATGAAGAATTCCAATAATAACACAATGAATAAGCACAGAAAATATGATTCAACACATCAGCCCAGTTTAAAGGCCATAATCCATTCATTCGAAGTGCAGAAAATAGGATTAATTGACCTTAAGCCTATGTTGCCCATACATCGAAAAGATATCACTGTCATACATGAATACAAGATATCAGATAACCCATGCCATAGAAAAGATTCAAGGAGATGGTGATGCACACCCACAATTTCACCAAAGGGAATTACATTTTCATTTATCTTTGTACCGAAAGGCATTAGATTATAAATACCAATAAAAATATATATCTCTTTTATATGTCAAATAAAAGCCTTTTTTTTTGCATCAATCTTTCTTTGAATTTGTCAACCAGGCTCCATCAACTTCACAAAATCCAGCATTGCATACATGATTTCTTTTAATATGTTTTTAGTATGAAAAAGAGCTTGTTAAGAGACCATACCTCCATGCCACAAAATTGGGCAAGTTTGAAGCAGTGTTGAAAAACTCGAACTCAATGGTTGAATTGATCAAAGCCAAAACAAAGTCAAAAACACCGCAAGTTTTGCAAAAAGCCATGTGAAGGCAAAAAAAAAGGAGTGTCTGGAATGGAAATCGATTCCAGCATATCACCTATGTCATGATGCAATGCTGCTAAAGATGAACCCAAAATTGGTCAAACTACTATTAAAAAAAAAAAAATTAAATATATATATATATATATGGAAAAGTCTTCCCAACGCCTATAGACGAAGATGAACTGTGATTTCGTCCACCCTCATCACCGTCCAAAGTTCATCGCACGATCACGATTGTCTGGTAGTGCTTCATTTTTTTTCTACAAATCAGAATGATCTGAAATTTAGAACGTATGTACATCGCAGTGAGGCGCACCTAATAAAAATATAAAAAAATAATTTGCGAAAAACAAATTGATCAAAATACCCCCGAAACATTTTTGGGGTATTTTGGCTAATGTTTTTCATGTAAAATATTTTTTTTATATTTTTCGTAGATTCACCTATTTTTTATAAACACACGCTTCAAATTTCATGTCATTCCGATTTGTAGAAAAAAAATGAAAAATGAAATACTACCGGACAATCATGATCGTGCGGTGAACTTTGGACGGTAATGAGGGTAGGCGAAATCACTATTCATTTTCGCATATACTCGTTTTGTAGTATCTTCCTATATATATATATATATATATATATATATA